AAAAGAAAGCCTTAGATCAGTTTTTTTCAACCTTGACAACTTTAAGATGGGTGGATTTAAACACACAAAATTCCCCAGCCAGCATGGCTGGCTGGGGAATTCTGGGAGTTGAAATCCACCCATCTTAAAGTTGTCAAGGTTGAGAAACACTGCCTTAGATCCTTATGACCTTTGTTGAAATTTTTTGCACACCAGCTTCATACCAGCCTTGTATGTAATAGCCAGTCTGGCCACATCAGCTACAAGAAATTCCATGCAAGTGATCTGAAGACAGGCAGAAGAGGAAAAGAAAGATGGCATGGTTCTAAGGGTTAGGTGATGGATTAGGATGGGGGACATCAAGTCTACCCTCCACATGGGAAAGCACTAGATGATTTGAAGCCAGTCATTGTCTCTCAGCACCCTCTACCAGCTTTAGGGAAGAAATGAAAAGCAGGAGTTCTATATACATTGTCCTGAACCCCAAAAGGGGGACAGACATTGAATTAATAAAGAAACATGACAGAATGTCACATCTCTGTCTTCAAGTCTACTTGCTTTCCATGCTGGACACAAAGAAGAGAAGGCCCTTCCCACACAATCAGCATGCAAAGAGCAGAGCAAAAAAATAGCAATTAAACTGCTGCATCCCTAGATGGACTGATCAAAACCAAATTCTTGATGGCATTTCTCTACTCCCCTTCACAGATATCATACAGTTGCAAGCTTCTAGCTTCTTAGCAGGCTCAGAAATCAAATAAATAAAATAGAATTGCAGGCCAGTTACTGTCTGTGGGCTTCCCTTCAAGGCTGTTTCAGATTCTGCCCTTTCTTTTGCTTATAAGGCTGGCGGGGATTCTTGTGGGGAGAGAGAAGGCAGTCCCTGTCCCTATCCATCATTTGCACTCATGTTCACTACTTGTTTAGAAATGTGATTCTGCCATTGACAGGCGAGGTTTACTATGGGAGAGGATGCCTGCAGAAGGCTGCCCTACCCAATGGCATGACTCCTGAAATCCTTGCTCCAGCATCTGCTCGGTTTGCTCAGGTGCAAGGGGTGGATGAGGCCCAGGGCTGACTACAAAGAGCTCTCTGTGTGCTGGGCAGCTGCAAAGTACGGTCTGTGCAAATATCTGACACCATGAATTTGCATAGGGATAGGAAGCCTAGCCCTAAGGCCCATTTGCAATCTTGCTTCTCCCCAGCAGGGAGCGAAATCTGATAAGTCAGTAAGGGGAAAGCTAGGGCTCAATGAATTGCACAGGAACGTGTTTTTTAATCTGTTTTCATACAGCAACATAAAGAACACGCTTGACTCCTATATCACAGCAAACTCAATTTTTGAAGCATGAATCTCTAACCAGACAAACTAGGGCCATCTATTCTCAATGAAATAAGGGTTATAATAGGGGGAAATGTGGGATGGAGCATTTTGAAAGAGGCAGGCTGGCTGGCTGGTTGGGTAGGACCCCAAACAAGAATATTCTTCACTATAATATTTTGTTGCCAATTCTACTTGGGGCTCTGAACCTCTTCTCTCAGACAAATTGCAATACCTAGTTTCCCTTTGGCTTCCCGCTAGTATAATTCTTGCATTTGTATCATTTGTTATTGATTATACTTTCCCATGAAAAATAGGGCCCGTGCTTAAAATAGCGCCACGCACCTACATTTTTCAAGCTATGTAAGAAGTGTGGTTTTCGTGAACCTGCTAACAGAAGACCAAAGTAGAACCAGTGAGGATGATGTCACTCACCAGGAGTGTTATTTGCTAGCACATAAACATGCTAGATACATGTTCACAGAATGAACATCCACATTTCCATTCACATTTGTCACCATGGCAGTGCATGCATTGCACACTGGGGAATCAAGGGTCATTGTCCCCTTCCAGGAAAAATGTGAACAGCCCTTCCATCAGTTGCAAAGATTGCAGCCAATCAGGATGAAAAGTAGCCTTTCAGTAAAATGGGGAAGACCAAATGCTTTAGGGTTTTATATTAAACTGAAGGGAGCCTCCTGCACTGGCCTTGGAAGATTGTCCATCACAGCTCCCCCAAGGCTAAGCCTGTTGGGTGAACTCAGCAAGGCAGCCATTAGTTCAGCCACTCAGTTGGGTCACAGTAGCCCAGTAACAGATGATCAAGGTAAGTAAAGGCTCCTTAGAGTTGACATTGACTCCTGGTGACCACATGGATATGTCCGTGCTATTTTTTTCAGCAACAATACAGAAATGGCCTTTTACTTTCTCAGTCAAGCCTACAGCTCAAACAAGGTCATCTAGGTGCTCCCATGGACTAACAACAGTTATATTGTTATTGAGGAGTCACAATAGTTACATTAGATTTTTATCCCATGGTGAACACACTGAATACTCCAGCCTCCTATGTTGCCCACATCCACCACCCTGTGAGGTGGGTTGGGCTGAGAGAGTGACCGGCCCAAAGTCAACAGCCGGCCTTCAGGCCTAAGGGAGGTCTAGAATTCACAGGCTCCTGGCTTCTAGCCCAGCATCTTCACCACTACACCAAAACGGCAGTGTCATGCAATGGTTAAAGTGCTGAATTTGAACAGGGAGATCCAGGCAAGTACCCACTTGACTGCGGAGCTCACTGCTGAAATAAGAACTCTTTCAGTCCACTCTACCCCACAGGAGTGTTGTTGTTGTGGGGATAAACCGAGGGGGTACTCCTAAGTACAAGTCTCAGAGAACAGATGAGAAATTTAAAAACCCAATCGTTACCAAGCATTCCAGGGCCTGAAGACTGTTTACAATAAGAGACTACCATAAGACTGATCTCTTGCAATCTCGCAGGCACCTTCCACGCTCCTGAGACTAAGAACCCACCAAATATGAGATTGCACATATTCTGGCAGGCTCTCGTGGATGTTAACTATGCAGAAACGTCCCAGAAGTCAGGTGGCAGTTAGTTACACGACTAAATCTAAATTGCGCAAGCAAGCAGAGCAGAGGGGAGGGGAGGAAGCGGGAGAAGAGAGATCAGCAGCTGCGAAACAGGAAAGTGAGTGCTAAGAGTTGCTTCTCAGAGCTCTTCAAGGCTGGGCAAAAGTGTCACATGCAAATTAGCAAGCGACAGAATGAGAAACAATATTATTTGTGAAGATAACTGGGATACAGTTGATTTCTATGGCAGCTTATTCCAAACTCCTGTTTTCCTTTCTTTTTTAAGTGATGGGATTTCTCCTCTATCAAGGCCTTTTAACTGATTGGTTATCATTACAATTCTGCATTATATTGTAAAATACTGAACCATTAAAACAGGTCTTACCTGGGGAGCTCTCGGGATCTGCAAGGCAGGGAGGAAATGTGGATTCTTGTTTGTAAGAGTCCAAATCACTGATGAATCCAGTGGGGAACTGAGAAGCACAAGTGGGCTTGTAAGTATAACATAAACTCCTCAAATGTTTCCCAAGGTGGATCAGGAAGACAAGAGATCCTGCCTTGTCAATCAATCCAAACCCTGCTTCAAGACTGACATTCTTCCACCATGAATTCTGCAGTCGTGACTCCCAACACCCCATTATGCATCAATGGAGGGGAAATTATGTGCATGATGAAGTCATCACACAAACAGTATGACTTGTATCATACTTGTATCAGATGCCATAATGTCATTAGATTAGAGCAGTGTTTCTCAACCTTGGTAACTTTAAGATGTGTAGACTTCAACTCCCAGAATTCCCCAGCCAGCATGACTGGCTGAGGAATTCTGGGAGTTGAAGTTTACACATCTTAAAGTTGCCAAGGTTGAGAAACACTGGATTAGAGTGCCACTGTGTGATGACATCACAATAGACATGTCTTCAGTTGACATAATTGGGGCTTTTATGGAGGCCACTAGAAGAACAGAGGGACACCTTTCATGAGCCAATTCCTTCAGGCTTTGCTCTGGTCATTGGCTTCCACGTGTGTGTGTGTGTGTGTGAATGCGCACCAAAAAAGCCAAGATGACGGCTGCAATGCAATTGAAGTTGCTATGTTGGCTTTTTTTTTAATGTTCCCCCTTAAGGGCACTCTTGCTCCTACCCATCAGAAAGTTTCCCATCCAGAACTGTGGGTTATTTGAGAAACCATGGTTTAGTATGATATATGAATCTAATTTCTCTCTCTCTTCTTCTTCTTGTACCTGCCACTCCCACTCTCCCTGATAAGTGAAGATACCCTTTTTCTTTCAGTCTCTGGCAACCTCCTTCGCCTTTGCCTCCCTCTTCCTCCCCACCCAACAGGCAAAACATGTCCGGGCCAGAGGTTTGAACCTACCAAAATTAGGTCAGGGGCCTCAACATGTCTGGGCCAGAGGTTTGAACCTACCAAAATTAGGTCAGGGGCCTCAACAAGTCTGGGCCAGAGGTTTGAACCTACCAAAATTAGGTCAGGGGCCTCAAGTTGCCCACCCCAGTTCAGAATTCAAGAATTTGAAACCACATGCTTACCACATAGCCATACTGGGATCCATCAAGCCTGTCAAGAGAGAAAGAAAATTGGTAAACAGGTATGCAGGCTGCCCTTACTAATCTCATGTCTCCCAACATGTCTTCTCATGTCATGAGCAAGCACACTGAACAATGATTAGAACAGCCAATGCTGAAAAGTTAGGCGCAGAATGATGGAATGAATTATTCTTAGTTGTTGTTTTGGTAGATAATACAAGGTTTTCCTTCACAGATCATGCAAATCTACAGCACAGTTCAAGCCATGCTTATTCAGAAGGAAGTCCCACTTAGTTCAATCAGCTAAAACTGGAAATTAATCAGTTAAGATTTCTTTGAATAGAAGAGCATTTTATAAATCTATTTAATAACTTTCATTAACACCATTTCAGCTGGAGAGGTTTAAAGTATTTTGAAATCGCCATCCTATGCACATTGACCTGGGATTACAACTGAGTAGATATATATACTGTACAACAGTCCTATAATTAGCCTAGGAGCCTTTCCTCCTTAGTAATTAATAGTGTCACCCCCAGAACGGGGACCATGATTTATGTAGCCTCATCCCACTGTTTTGTGTACTGCCAAACACTCAATCGTGCCTGGCTCCTGATGTTGCCACAGCATGGGGGGGGGGGGGGGGGGGAACCAACTGGGCTGTCTGTGGCTTTCACCTGTTGCCTGAATGGATGGGCAAGGGAGTACTTTGAGGGCATCAAAAACAAACTACATTGGACTATGAGGAAAGCCACAACAATATATTGTTATGCTAGCAGGATATTATTTCACCACAGCAAGGACTCATGTCTGGTAAGGCTCCCTGATGAGGAAAGAGTTATGTTTTACATATCCCTGTAGTGACTTTTGGATCAAGTGAAAAAAATGCAAGATATATACGTGCCAACAGAAGAGAATATATGTAGTTCAGGGTTGAACTGTAGAGTCCTTGGTGCTCTCTGAGCTTGGTTGTAGACCAAGCTTGCAGACATTTCATTACCCGACTAGGTAACATCATCAGTGCTAGTGAGTGTGGAGTTTTCTCCCTGTTTATATACAGTAGCTTGCACTGCAGGTGTGGGTGAGCGTATGGCTTTCTCCGTGGTAGTTCCTTGATTAGGGTATTGTTTTCTGCTTGATTGTTTGTCTCGTGTTAATCCCTGTTTATTTGGGTGTCGGTTGCTGGAGAGGATGTGTAAACATAACATAAACAGGGAGCAAACCCCACACTCACTAGCATTGATGTTACCTAGTCATGTAATGAAACGTCTGCAAGCAAACAACCAAGCTCAGAGAGCACCAAGGACTCCATGTACATGTCCTTCAGCAGGAATAAAACCTAACTCTACATGGTATAATCCTACAGATTTTTCATTCAAAGTAAGATTGGAAAGTAATTATTCAGAGAAGCTCTTTTTTCTCCCCCATTCTCTATTACTATTAATGCATCGGAAACAACATGACCTCTTCCGCTCCAACCCCACAAATACACCCAAATCACTCAACTGTCTGTCCTTACCAATTGAAATTAATCACCATTTAACACAAACTTTAGCCAAATAACCTATTCTTTGAACCAATTTTCCCAAAATCAAAGCTCCCTCAGATGTATTGAACTTCAGTTTTCATAATTCCCAATCAGCATGGGGATGTTAAAGTTTACCCATTGGGAAGATTCTAAGGCAGTGTTGTCCAAACTTGGCCACTTTAAGATGAGAGGACTTCAACTCCCAGAATTCCCGAGCCAGCCATGTATATCAAGTACACAAAAGGATGAGCATTGTCATTTCTGCACCGTGTTGATGTTAGAGATACAATATGCTAAATACAATGGCACAGCAATGCATTGTCATATTTCCCTACAATCCCCATGCTAGCTGGAAATTATGGAAGTTGAAGTTAACATGCCTGGGAGGTATAATTACAATGATGATGACGATGATGATGACGATTATAGCTACTACCAAAATAGCATGACCCATTCACTCACCATGACATCACTGTATCATGGCCCTGCCCATGATAGAGAAAGAGAAAAGAGAAAGTGTGACTCCTAACGCTGAACCCTAGCCACTAGTATCTTTAAGGAAAGAATCAGGTTAGTGTTTTTTCCACAAAGGACAGGCAGACAGGGGAGAAAGAAATAAGAAGTTCCCCCAACTTGCCTCTTCAAATGGTTTGTTCCAACAAGCCCAACCAGGTTCCGTCACCCTGGTTGTGCTTTTAACTGAACACCAGTGTGGGGCATCTGGTTGGGGAAGGCTTCATTTTAGAGCAGAGATAAGGAACTGGGGCTTCCCAGCGCTGTGCGTTACACATTTGCAGCAGGAAGGGTGGTGGCAGAAGCTGTCTCACCATTAATTAGAGCTGGTCAGCTCTCTCAGACCTCCAGTTTGGGGTGGTGAGAAAGGACAGTTATTAATTCCTTCATTTATCCTGGCTATGATTATATCGCCACGGAGAGGGAGAAGCACCTGCCAACTTTTCCGCCAGCCACATCAACTTCACCAGCTGAAGCAATTTTATAATTTTTAAAAAGGGTGTGCTACACTACAAAACCAGGTTTTCCCAGGGTGGCTTCTAGCAGACTAAAATCAAGCATGGTTCTAGGCAACAAAACACTATAACACTGAAAGAATAACGCCAGCAGCCCAAGCTTCAACAAAATGGACCAGAAATGGGCAAGAATCAGCATTTTTGAGTAGGACTACTAGGAAGGGAGCTGTGTATTGTCTCATTGTCACACTCTTGTGCTGGGGAAATATTCAAATCTAATGTTCCCAACCTTTGTGGGCCTCACCGTTTGCATAACAGCAACAGGAGGGGAAGAAAAGTGAGAGGGAGAAAGGGATGGGGTGGACAGGGACCTAGAATACAGAGCATCTGATAAGGAGCAGGACATGATAGGGGAAAGATAGCTAAGGCTGCTAATTTGGAGAATAGCTGGCAAACTATGAAGTTGTTCCTATGCTTAAAATGGTTGCATATTACGACAGAAGCAGTTGCAGAGGTCAATTTTCTAAAACGCTTCAATGGGAGAGATAGCAGCCAAAATATTCCTATACAAATAAGACAGGCATAAAAATGCAAGAGTCAAAAGTGAAGTCCACTTAGTGTATCTGGCATACACTTAGAGAGATGATGTGAAAGACTAGATTGCATTAAGCTTAAAGAAGTGAAGTACAGAAGAAAAATGTCTCAAGTTGAAAGCTACTCCTGCTGATTATATGTTGATGTCCATCTGGGAGTGGTTTCCCAGGGCTTTCTTCTGGGAAGTTTTTCAAATTCCAATGTAGCTCTTGGATTTCCAAGTGGTCTCCCATCTAAGTACCAATCAGGTCCAATCATGCTTAGCTTTTTTTCTAGAGCCAAGATCACGTCGGGGCTACCTAAATTCAAATCCCAGGTCAACTATAGGGCTGAGTAAGTAATCTACGGACAAGTCATTGATTCTCAGTCTGTCTTCACTGGGTTGTTGTGAGAAGAGAAGGAAAACTATGTATAGTGCTTAGATATCCTTTTAAGTAAAAATGGGATTGAGTGTAACAGAACTTAAATCAGGTCTGCTTCATGTATGCCAACACTGCCAGCAATGAGATTTTAATTACCTCTGTATTTTCATTTATGACTTTTGACATTGTTTTATGAGATGTTAAAAGCATGTTGCTTTCTCAGTTTTAACAAGAAACTATACATGCATGCATACATCTTGTTTTCTAGCAAGAAAGAAAAACTTGTTTTCTAAGTCTCTTTTTTGGCCCCCAGATTTTTGCTTTGTTCCTCTTGGAAGATCTAGGGGGCAACTTTTGAGTGGCTGAGGGCCACCCTTTATATTTGGGGCGGCTGAGGGCTATAAAGCGGGTGCAGCTGGCTTTGGTGGGAATGTCAGAATTTGTTTTTTAACTGTGTGATAGGCTTATTTTAGGATTTTATATTGCCATTTTAACCTGTGTAGCACCTCAACATCTCAGGAAATTTCGTCATTCATTTCCAGCCACCCTGCTCCAAAGGGGACTCCGGGGGTCCCCAAAAGGAAACGTTGGGGATTTATGTGGCCCTGGGAGCCACAGGTTGGCTACCTTTGCCAGTGGGCATCTGTCTTTCCCAGGCGGTGGGTCTCTTTTGCAAGCGCAGCAGGGCAGAGCCTTCCGAGTTCCACAGACGCCCATCTCTAGCCCCTCGGCGCCGGTCCACCAAAAAGGGTGGGCAGCCGCCGGAGCCGGTCGAGCCGAAAGCTTCTCCGCCTCCGTGGCCAAAGTCTACAAGCCCGGTGAAGAAGATGCGCGCCTCAGGAAGGCGCCCCCGCCCCCTCTTCTCACGCAC